ATGTGTGCAGGAAATGGATTATGGCTGCTACCACACCTGGAGCAGATGGAGTAAGTGATTCTTTTCTAGTCTGAGCCCTCAGACTTAACTTGTAAGCAATGTGAGGCCCTTCTAGGGGCAATTATGTTAATTGAGCACTTTCACATTACAGGTTGAAAGTCATCTGTAGTCAAAGTGCCCCGCGTGTGAAATACATGCGGTATCCAGCTGTGTGGGATACAAATCCTGGTCACAAGCAAACGACCATGTTATTGGTCATTGCAGATTGATCATATTCATCTCTGAAGCAGAAGTAATCACAATCCATTTTAAAAGTGGCACCTGCAGTTCACAGTCCACAAAGACAATGCAAGATCTCATAAGCTGCACAAGAGCACAGATCTGATTTCTTCTTACCTTGATCTGTAAGTATTTGTCGAATGCTTTTATATGCAATACTAACTTTCTTGGGTGATATGAAGGGTGGGAGTGCAAGGTATCAGTAATCTTTTAACCTCCTACTGGACATGCATGACATGGCTTGTACTGCATTCATTGGAATGTGGTACCTATGTCAAAGTTCTATGCAGTGGCATTCCATGGCCCTCCTTGTTCGAGTCTTCTATTTCCCACTGTATGGAGGAGTGTGCTAAACTAGCATTTGTAACTGATGCAAATGCTGACTCCTAACGTTAGCAAGGATCTGATCTCTATTATCTCCCACATATCTCCTTTCTTGGAAGCATGACCAATGCATCTAGCCCCAGCAAGAGTTATCACCTATTACTTTGGTGCAAAGACGATGCAGAGAAATAGGGAAGAAACCAATGTGCCAATAGGCTGTAGACCAACAGAAGCCCAGAGTGCGATGTGAAGGCTGATCCATCAATATATCACCGCTGTAGCTCATCTCAGGATACACAGGAGGTACAAGAAGCCCAAAATCTATTATCCTCGCTGCTACTTCCGGCATATCAATGAAGTGTAGTGTTGCCCCAGACTAAGGATGTCCTGGGCATACTCAAAACTATACCAACTACTGGAGTGGGACCTGCAACATGAATATATGGATGCCATCCTATCTTGGTAGCCATCAAGGTGACAGCTGTGCTAAACTTTTAATGCAGTTTACTGCTTGCAGGTTCCACTGGGGACCTGTGTGAGATCTCAACCCTCAGCTCATGAATGTATCAAGGCTGTTACCAATGCAATTTGAGCAGGATCAGATTGCTTCATCTCATTTTCCCATGACAAGGTCAGTGCAACAGCCTAGGCAGTACGCTTTTCCAATATAGCTGGCTCTCCCCAGGTCAAGGGCACAATAGACTGTGCACATTACCTTAACAGCACCATATCAGAACACAGCTGCCTCCATGAACAGAAAAAGATTCCATTCCATCAGTGTACGAATCAACTGTGATCGTCAGACTGTTTTAGCCAGTCTGTGCCAGGTACTCCGGAAACTGTCATGATGTGGAAATCCTCGAACTCTCGTATTCCTGACTCGTTTCCAGGGCCAAATGCCTTAAAAGGATTGCGAGGCAAAAGCTAAGCACAGCAAACATGGCTGATGACTCCATTACACAACGCCTTGACTGAAACAGAGTGTAAGTACATTGCAGACCATTCTCTGACCAGGGCCATTGCGGAGCAGCAGATGATCCTGCTGAAGGTGTGTTTCCTGTACTTGAGTGAATGAGGTGACTCACAGTCTGAGTTCCTTCTAATTTCTCCAGCTGCTGTGCAAACCTCCAGGGTCTCTGTACAGCTGGGAGAGTGGCATCTGCCTTCTGAGGAGGAATATGTAATCACTGAGTAGGAGAAACATCACCTTCAGCATGATAGAGCAGTGTAGGTTCTAGTGCCATAAACCAGACCAGAGATGAGGAGGAATTTTATCACCAGAGAGTAGTGAGTCTGTGCAATTAGTTGCTCCAGGAAACTGTTCAGGAAAAACATTGAAGACTTTCAAGAAAGTTATAGATATAGTTCTTACGACTAAAGGGCTCAAAGGATATCGGAAGAAAGCTAGAACAGGATACTGAGTTGGATGATTAGTCTTGACCATATTTAATGGTGGAGCAGGCTTAAAGGGCCGAAGACCCTATTTTCCGCTTCTATTCTCTGTTTCTTTGACTTAATTGAAACATCATTTCAGGCGATTACAACAGTGCAGTGATCACTCACTGACTGAAAATGTGTTGGTGCTTGAAAGGCAAGCAGTCCTGAAGTAAATCTGTTCCCAGATGTAAATGCAGCTTTTGTTTGTTCTTCTTTGCTTTTGCTGTGGTTAGTTCAAAGTAAATGTTTTTAGCTGTTTGTTGACTTTCCAGTATTTGATGGGCCTATGTTGAACAATGAGAAGATGTTAGCCTATGTTGGACGCTGGGGAAAGAGCAGCATTCCCTTATACAAAGTCCTAGGATGGAATGACACGAAGGATGGCTAACCTGTGTGGCTTGATTCTAAAATAGCAATTTATATTTCCAAATGTGTACTTGCATTTGCAGTGAATTGTCAGCTGTGCCACCTACGTGCCCTGAGAAGCCCTTTTTGTTCCCCTCCCACTATGTGTATGGTGGCAACTCCTGGTTGGCAGAGCTTGACCTGTTGTATGGACTTTAAAGATGATATCGGTGCCAGGAGGTTCTGGCAGAGGTGCATCTAGTAAGAGGGTAGGATGAGTGGGGCATTGTAGAGGAGAGTGCGTAGTTAATGAGGTGGGTGGCAGAAAATAGTGTGAGAGAACTTACAACAGCTCTCAGAGAGAAGCCTGAAGAAAAACTTACCAAAATTCATCCATGGTCAGATGCAACAAGATCTGGACCACATCCAGGATTGGGCTAACAAGTGGCAAGTAACATTTGCACCACACAAATGCCAGGCAATGGCCATCTCCAATAAGAGGCAATCTAATTACCACCCTTTGACATTCAGTGGTGCTACCATTGCTGAATCCCCCATTATCAACATCTTTGATGTTACCATTGATCAGAAATTCAGCTGGGCTCATCACATAAACACGGCGGCTACAAGAGCAGTTCAGAAGCTAGGAATACTGCAGCGAGTAACTCACTTCCTGATTCCCCAAAGCCTGTCCATCATCTACAAGAACAAGTTAGGCGTGTAATGGAATACTCCCCATTTGCATGGATAAGTGCAGCTCCAACAATGCTCAAGAAGCGTGATACCATCCAGGACAAAGTAGCCCACATGATTGGCACCACATCCACATTCTCCACTGATACTCCGTAATGACAATACAAGATCCTTACACAGCACCTTCCAAACCAACGACCACTTCCATCCAAAAGAACAAGGGCAGCAGATAGATGGGAACACCACCATCTGCAAGTTCCCCTTCAAGCCGCTAACCATCCTGATTTGGAAGTATACCACCATTCCTTCACTGTTTCTGGGTCAAAATCCTGGAATTCCTTCCATAATGGCATTTTTGAGTCACCCTATGACATGTGGACTGCAGTATTTCAAGGAGATAGCTCACCACCACCTTCTTGAGTGCAACAAAGGAAGAGCAATAAATGCTGGCCAGCCAGCGACGCCCACATCCCACAAGTGGTAAGCAACATGTGTCCATAATTTGATTGAAGTGATTTTAAAAAAAGTCCTAACAGGATTGCACAACATTTTGAAGAATTAAACAGTTGCAAACAGGATTTTGTAAACACATGTAGTATTAAGTTCTTGGGACTCTCATTTTTAGTGCTGCTAACTAGTGGGCTCTCTCTCTGCATTCTTATCTTGCAGTTTTTCTCTTGGTCACCAAACAAAGATAATTAAGAAGTGTTTGCATTTACTATGCATGTTCTTTTTCATTTGGCAACCTAATGGGGTGGAATTGGAATGGATATCCATGTTTTGTATATGTGTGCAAGTCTGTTCTGTTCTTTTGAGATTGATATTTTTAAATACAGTTACCTAGGAGTTTTGTTTCCACTGTCTTGTCATTTTATCTACTGCATCTGAATTGTAATCCTAAAAAGGTGAACCTTTGGTGGTGAGCAAGTGGATGAATGAATGAATGGGTGTTTTGAAGGACACTTGAATGTGTCACAGTCTGAGCATTGGTAGTCAGGTTGGGTGGGGGTGTTGTTGGAGTGTGGATCGTTGGGTTCACGGCTAGATAATTAGAGTGGGGGTTGATGCATATGTTGGATTGGGCAGGGAGGGTTGACGTTGAGATGCAATCACTGAATTGCACCAGAATTTAAACAAATTGACAATACTTGGGTAAGTATTGCACTTGGAGCCCAAAACTCCAATCCTGAGCACACAGTAATACATTCTCTCAGTATCAGAAGCAATACAAATCACCCAATTAGAAGTTTAATTTCCTGGGTAATTATCACCTTTGTGTATAGGTCAGAATGCGTTCTAAATGCAACGGTTGGAGAGACCTTAACGTTTGCCACTATTGGCAGGATGATTAATTTTCTGTGCACTTCCTCTTACTCTCTTTCCCCCACTTACCCACTTGTCTGAGTCCTTCTTGTGTACTCTTAGTTCCAGGTTTCCTTGCTAACTCTTTTTAATCTGCCCTCTTCAGTTTATGTGAAGTTTAACTGCAGTATTGTCCAAATAAAAGTAAAGTACTGGATGTGTGAAATAAAACTCAAGTGCTAGAGACTCTTCTAGTCTCATATTGGATTCGACATTAATTCTCCTCTCAGCACAAATGCTGCTAGACTTGCAGAGTTTTTCTAGCACTATTTGTAACTATTGATCAGCTTAATTAAGAGAAGTAAGGCCAGTTGAAAATAAAGCATTAAGCATGGGTGCATGTGTGATCAAGTTTCATCAGTCTAGAACACAGGAAATATGTGACATGGCTGCAAATGCATAATACAGTGGTAATGAAGTGACTGCAGTTTAATTTAGTTGTACCTGATTTCAGTTTAGTTACAAAATGCAAATACAGACATACCTTTTATTTGAAATTTACAGTGATGTTTGTTTTCCTCATTGTTGTCTATACTCAAGAAAGGAAATTTTTGTTTCAGGATGCAAGCTGGGAGAGGCTTCTGATTTCCTTGTACGGCAGGGCACCCTGATTCAGCTTCCTGTGGCAAATGGAGAAATGGGTTGTTACAGGGTGTGCACTTGTGGCCCAAGTGGACGGTTGGAAAATTGTCTGGAGATGCCTTGTATTGACGTTCAAAAAACCTGCATTGTAGGAGGCCAGAGGAAAAGTAAGTTTTGGTTTCACATGATATGGGTGTACAAACCATGAATTAATTTATAAATGTATCGTATTATTGAAGCCACTAAAAATAGATTTGCAGATAAGTCAAGGCATGAGTCTGATCAGTTTTAAAGCCCCGAAACAAGAGGGGGACTGAATTCGTGAGCAACCCTACTGTTATTTTATTTGTCTTAACAAAAGTAACCGCTGTTTCTAATGCTGTAAAGAAACAAAGAACACATTATGTACTGTTACTATGGGAAAAGAATGAGATATTTTAAGTTGTAAACTGCGTCTTTATTATGCTTTGGTAGAATGATGTAAACTAATGTTTTCCTGGAGTTTTGTTACTATTTCTAAGTAGTTAGGGCTGAAGATTTATTCCTGAAGCAGGTATCATAGGTCAGGGAATTTCCCAGCTTCCTTGGGAGAAGGTTCCCAGTCAGACCCAGTTTTTGCCGGTGGTTTGAGGTGCAGATGGAGCTGGGCCTCCTGTCCCTGGATATAGTTTTGTGAGCGCACGATCTGCTGAGTGAGGAGGTGCGCTAGATAAAAGGCTGACCATTGTTGCAGTTGTTTCTTTAAATTTTAGGCCCCACTCCTACCCCAAAAGCTCCCCAAGCCACCTTGATACACTCATGCACCCCAACCACCCCCATTGTCCCTTATACCAACCTAATGCCAACTTCGTCCTCCTACCTTTGCCATCGTATCCTCCATATTGACTAATCGAGTATCCACCATGGGCAGACCTCCGGTGCAATTTTGATCAGAAATACAATAGTGCAACATTTATTGCAGTTTTCACTGTATTTATAAATAAAGCTCACGTTTATGAAAGGCCCTTGAAATTTTCTGTGCAGTTCTTAATCATTATAAATAGCAAACTGAGTTGCACAAAATCTCAGCATTGCTAAAAGAGAACTTTTCGTTGCCTTCAGAACTGGGACTGAAGAGACTGGCTTGAAAATAGAGAAGCGATTTTATACGGAATGAGACCTTGGGGTGCAGGTTCATAGTTCCTTGAAAGTGGAGTTGCAAGTAGACAGGGTAGTGAAGAAGGCATTTGGTACATTTGCCTTTATTGGTCAGTGCATTGAGTATAACATTTTGCAGGACATTGGTTAGGCCATTTTTGGAATACTGTGTTCAGTTCTGGTCTCCCTGCTATAGGAAAGATGTTGTTTAACTTGAAAGGGAGCAGAAAAGATTTACAAGGATGTTACCAGGGTTGGAGGGCATGAGCTGTAAGGAGAGGCTGAACAGGCTGTGGCTATTTTCCATGGAGCATTGGAGGTTGAGGGTGACCTCATAGAGGTTCATAAAATCATGAAGGGCATGGACAGGGTGAATAGCCAAGGTCCTTTGCCCAGGGTAGTGGAGTCCAAAACTAGGGGGCATAGGTTTAAGGTGATGGGGGAAAAGATATAAAAGGGACCGAGGAAGCAACTTTTCCCTGCAGAAGATGGAGTGTGTATGGAATGAGCTACCAGAGGAAGTGGTGGATGCTGGTACAACATTTAAAAGGCATCTGGATGGGTCCATGAATAGGAAGGGTTTAGAGGGATATGGGTCAAAAGCTGAAAAATGGGAGTAGATTAATTTAGGATATCCGGTTGGCACAGACAAGTTGGATAAAGGGTCTGTTTCCGTGCTATACAACTCAGACTCTGAGAAGAGGGTGGCTGATTGGTTGGGCCGTAATTGTCATGGAGATGCAGCAGAAGCAGTTAACTTTTGGAGTAGGCAGGTAGAATCAGGCCAATCAGAATCTACCTCTCTGATCTGAGAACTAATTGGCACAGGCAACTTGTTTCCTTTTTACATTTTAGAGGTCTGGGAACTTAAGTAGTTTTACAGCTTGACTGTTAATGTAGACCTTATCCATCTCTCATGAGAAATCTGATATGTGACTCGCCAACAGGTTAAGGTGCTTGCTACAATGAAAGTTATGACCTTGCATAAATTGAAATAGTACTTTGAAAAATGAAACATTTTAAAATTTCTGTTGCCACTGACTAATTTGAAGTTTCTTGACAGAATTCGATCATGTTGTCAAAATCACCTCATTACTTCGGAGCAATTCTGGTCAATAATATTAATGGGAATAGTAAATATGTAGCAAGAATAAGTTTGATTAGGGACATCCCAAACTATAGACAGCAACAAATTCCATTTTGAATTACAGTCGCTGATGGTATGTAAACAGGTATGGCTGCTCTTTTTATGTGCTGAAGTCTCTTGAGTGGGATTTGAACCCATAGTCTCATGAGTCAGGTGACCATGTTGCCATTGAAGTATCCCAAAGCGTGTGTCAACAAATCAATAATCTTGAACGTTTTTGAAGTAGACTCTATTTTAAAAAAAAACCTTCAATTATGGTCAAAACTTCTCTGAATCTCTCATAATGCTTTTGTTTCTTTTTCCCACAGGTCATGGAACATCTTTCAAAGTGGACTGCAACATATGCTCATGTTTTGCTGGGGACCTAATTTGCTCAAATCGTCAGTGTTTGAGTGAATACAGTTCTCAAACGGATCGGAGTATGTTCACAGGTCAGAATTTTAATAAGTTCATTACATTTTTGAAAATTAAACTACAAAGTAATTTATTATTCTTAAGGTTGTCTTGAACTTTGTGTGTCGAGAAAATTCAAAGATGTGCCATTAAGAGACGCTTGGATGTAATTTTTCATGGTACCTTTTTACGGCTAATACTTTCACTCTGTGATGACACTGCTGAATTAATTTAAGTGCTTGCTTCTAGTGGAGACAACTTTCCAAGAAGGTAAACCAGAAAATTGTCCTCATGTACAGCACAGAAACAGACCCTTCAATCCCACTTGTCCATGACGACCAGATATCCCAAATTAATCTAGTCCCATTTGCCAGTGTTTCTTTCTAAACCCTTCCTATCCATATACACATCCAGATGCCTTTTAAATGTTGTAATTGTACCAGCCTCCACCACTTCCTTTGGCAGTTCATTCCATACATACAGCAGCCCTTTAGGTCCCTTTTATATCTTTCCCCTCTACAACTTAAACCTGTGCCCTCTAGCTTTGGACTCCCCTACCCTGGGAAAAAGACCTTGACTATTCATCCTATCCATGCTCTCATGATTTTATAAACACCTATAAGGTCACCCCCCATCCCCCGACACTCCAGGAAAATAGCCCCCGCCTATTCAGCCTCTCCTCATAGCTCAGACCCTCCAACCCCGGCAACATCTTTGTAAATTTTTTCTGCACCTTTTCAAGTTTCACAACATCTTTCCTTTCTGGGAGACCGGATTACTACAGTATTCCAGAAGTGGCCTGACCAATGTCCTGTACAGCAGCAACATGACCTCCCAACTCCTAATATGTCTTTTTGTTTGAATTGGGGCCTGGCGTCTATCATCTACAAGTCCTTTAGCCTACTTGCATGTCCAAGGGCCATAAACAGACTGTGGCTGAAGTGTCTGCTGTTTTTCCCCTCTTGCATCCTTTGGCAGCAAGAATGCATCCCATATGTACTGGATACAATTTCTATGTTGAGTGTTATGATCATTTTAGGTATTACCTCTAAGACCATTCTGTCACCCTTTTCCCATAACCTTTCAGATTATCTTGATTTAAATAATCGTCTAATGCCCTCTTTGAATGTAGTGATTTATCCTGCCTCCAGTACACTTGTAAAGGTATTCCAGACCTGATCCACTTGCAAGGACTTTTCTCACATCACATTTACTTTTGCAAGTTGGTTTAAATCTTATTCTCGATCTTTTCATGAGCGGGAACAGTTTATCCCTGTCTACTCTCTCTGGCTTGCTCATGACGTAGAAAACATCAGACAAATCTCCACTTTGCCTTCTGTTCCCCAAGAGAAATGGTCATAACTTCTCCAATCTATCTTCATAACAGAAGGTAACTTTTCCAACTTTCTTCTCCCAGGAACCATTCTCATAAACCTCTTTTTTTCACCCCCATCTCCATTGTGTTCACATCTTTCCTAAAGGGTGGCTACCAGAACTGTACACAGTATTCTATCTGAGGTCTTATTCTTGTCTTGAATAGGTTCAGCTTAACGTCCCTGCTTATGTTTTTCCAAGTTTTATATGATCTGCGAATTCTGAAGTTGTCCCCTACACTTCAAGATCCACATCATTAATATAAATCAAGACATGAGTGCCATTACCCAACCCCTGGGGAGCTCTTCGTGAAAAATATCAATTCATTAGTAAAAGGGCAAATTTGCCATTTCATCTTCTTCCCACTAATTGCCAATCCACCTTACACCAGGGCCTTATTGTTTCAAAACCTGAGGAACCTGATACCCTGTGTCCTGGATCATGTTTCTAGCCTCTTATTAACCTGCTTAACTTTATAAAGGATTGATGTCGTAATGGTAATGTCACTAGTAATACCGAGGCCTTGTTCTAGAGAAACAAGTTCCAATCTTACTATGCCATTTGAGGAATTTAAGTTAAATTGATGAATATATTTTGAATAAAATATAAGTTCTACTAGTAAAGTTTATGACACAAAACTACTGTGGATATGCTGTGAGCTGCACTTTTTCACTGTGCTGTCATCCTCACCAGTGATCAAACCGATTAGTGCCATGCTCACAAAGCCTGGATGGCTTGGTTGATGACATTTTAAAGGGTGGCCCAGGCTGTTTTACTGGGAAGAAGGTGCAAGATATGCCTGTAAACAATGACCAGGGTAGTTGTGCTGATGGTGAATAGCCTGTTAATCTTGGTTCCAGGGAGCTAGTATGAGTGTCTAATTTTGTGCATTTCTTACCACTTCTGATTTTGCCAAGTGCTGCACTTGACCGTTGTACTCTGGAATCCCCTGTAATTGCAGAGTGATCATTTCCTGGAGTATATAAGCCAAGAAATGTTTGTTCTCCCTTTGTACCCTGCAGTGATATCAACTGCTCTGAGGCTCATAACTCTTAATACTTTGAGGCTTTATTTAAATGGTAAAGCGCATGAAATCCATAAATCTCTGCAGGTTTTAAGCAGAACTGGAAAATTGTGTTATGTGATTCTAACAAACACTGACTGAGAATGTGCAGCACTAAAATACCTGGTGTCCGCTCATTAAAAGAATTCCTATTATGAATGTCCACAAAAGAGGAAAACTGCACACACTTCATATTTTTACCCACCCCTGCAAAATAATCATACCATCCATGCACAAATGATCTGGAAGCAGTTTGAACACGAAAAAATGTCCATTTATGAAGAGTATTGTACTGCTCAATAAGGTACCAATGCCTCATTTGTGACTTGTTTCCTCCCAATTTATCTGTAAGCTTGAGTGATCTTTGTATCCCCAATTTTGAACTTGCACAAGTAGTCCAAAATATTGAGGAATCTGTCTGAGTTTATTCCAATTCATCTGGTTGTATACAGTGGCCAAAGACCTCACAGCAAATACAACATGTGCACAACAATAACTTAATTCTAAACTGAACCTGTGTGAAAAAACCTACAGCTTACACATCTCAAACAGCTCAACAATATAATTCCTTTTCGTGTATCTATAAAAACATTACAGAAAATGAGATTTTAAAAAGGTCCATATGCTCATTCAAGTAATGTTAAAATTGTCGTTTCTCATTGATAAGAGTTGAAATTAAAGTAAATCTGTTTGAGTTGGAGCTGCTGGAGTTGGAAGTATGCTACAAATGTGAGATTTTAAGATTATGTTTTCAGATTGTCTCTTTAACTTGTTAAAATGGAAAAATGAAGCAGTGAAATGTTATGAATTTTGTCTGACAACAAGTCTCTGTGAGCATGGTTGTTAAAGATTCAAGCTGGGAGTTGGGGGTAAATGCAGGTGATTTTACTGGATCTTAAGGTGCAAGATGTTCACACTTGTAAGCAATGACCAAGGCAGTTGTGCTATAGGTGAATAGACTGTTATTCTTCAAGCCCTAGGGACATATTTGGAATGTCAAAGTTTGTGAATGGTATAATAATCAATTCTGTGTGAGTAAGCAAAAAGCCAAAATAACAGACTATCTTTCTGTTACAAGCATTAAGATTTATAACAAAATATGTTGACCAAGTACACTGTTTATGAATTATTTTGTAGGTCTTCCCTGTAACTGTGCTGACCAGTTTGTACCGGTTTGTGCTCATAATGGACGTACGTACCCAAGTGCTTGTATTGCAAGATGTGTTGGACTGCAAGACAATCAATTTGAATTCGGACCCTGTAAATCCAAAGATCCATGCACTCCCAATCCATGTTCCAAAAGTCAAAGGTACCAAAATTTTCTTTATGAATTGATTTTTGTTCAAATTAATTGTAGCACCTAGCAAATTTTCCATTGGACCTTACTCCAAAACTGGTATGGGCTGGCAGTTTTTTTTGAGACAGCGATTTATATATGTGCTTGTAAACAAGGATGCCTGCCATTCTTAGCTATAACTTTTGAGTTTAGTCATTTCTAATAATTTGAATTTCCTGATCACTCAATCTTATTTGAGTCTGGTAAATTTTCTGCATTATGATTGTTGAGTCGCCTAGAATTATTCTGGAAAGATTTTCTTCAGGACTGCTAATGCAGCTGTAAGCTTTGTTGGTTTATGATGGGGCAAAGAAAGGGGGAAATGCTTTGAGGTTCAAATTAGAGGAATAGAAAGAGTGTAGAAGATTACCATGAAAGAATGGGAACATGGCCATGAAGGGATTTGACTTTGAGAGCCAGTAACGAAGCTGAGTCGATGATGAAGGACACATGACTGTTGCAGTTTATGGTTGTTGGAAAGCTAGAAAGGTGTGTGTTAAAGTCATGAAGTTATTGATGTGTGTATGTATGTATATAAGAGTTTGTGTTTGCATTCAACACAATCACTAATTCGAAAGTAAGAATCTTGATAATAGTTCATAAATACCTTTTAAAGTTCAGCTTAGGATAAGTCAATATACTTGAGCATTTAGGTTCAACTTGTGAGGGTGACTGAGGAAGTGAATGAAGTCATTTACAAGGGAACAAAAGTGTTCCAGACCAAAGTCAGTGACTTGGATTTTTCTCAGCAGCAAAGAAACCTTTTAGGACAGCCAAAGGCAGGAAGGACAACTGATCACAGACTTTTCATGGGCTTATCGATTTGGATTTTGTCTACTTTGCTGCACTTTCTAGTGCAGCACTTTCGATAGGAGATGTGTTGCATTTTTGAGCAGTAAATCAATAGAGAAGGTCTTCACAAATTAGATTGAAGTATCCTCCCTGGACATAAAATGTCCAAAGCCAGATAAAGGTGGTAATATCAATAATGTGTAAATAAAGAAATAAAGATCAGGAAATACAGATGAGAATAGGAGACAAAAGAAGCACGACAAGTAAAATGTTTTTAAAGTTTCCAACACTAATTTTCTTCTGAGGAAAGGTGACTCCACATTTATAAAATTATTTCTTCAGGTCGAGAGAGGTTGATCCGAAATAACTTTAATTAGGCTATTTAAAAACTTCACTTATTCTTGCATTCAACACATACTCTTATATATACACATATCATATACCAGCCTGGTATTTTTAGATGTTTCTCATGTAGAAGTGGTAAACTCTGTTGGAGTCATTTTGGTGTTGAACTTGTCAGCCAGACTTGCAACACCGCATCATACCTGGGAGCAGGGGATCTCCAACAGAAGTCTGCGTATTTTCACATTTAACTGCACATGTTGATACTCGAGAAGGTGCTATCAGATTTCCTCCGTTCTGGACCATTGACTTTAGCAGTGTCAATTTTGAGCTGCAGAACATGGCAACTCATTCAAGGCTGGATGTTTTTAAAAAAATGTTTGACAATGAAAGGATTACATTCTTTGTTTATGATTTTGAAAATCTGTGTAAATCTCCTCTGAGCTGGCTTCTCTCCAAGGAGTACTGTCCCAACTTCTTCAGTTTGTCCTCATAACTGAAGCTTCTCAATTTTGGAATAATTGTTATAAATCGCATTTCCGATGCATTTGCAACTTTCCTATAACGTAAGTCAACAACCGTACGCAGTACTCATGTTGAGGTTGAAAAAGTGTCTTGTATAATTTCATCATCACCTCCTTGCTCTTGTACTCCATGCCCGTATCAATAAAGACAAAGACACACTTATCTTTATTAGATGCTCTCTCCATCTATCCTGCCACCTTCAGTAATATGTGCACCTATAGACTCTGGTCTCTGCTTCTGCATCCCCTTCAGAATTGTACCCCCTAGTTTATGTTGTCTTTCTGTGTTCAATGTTTCAAATTTATTAAATTTGGTTTCGAAAGAATGAACACGCTGCTCTAGAAGCGCCAAAAAATTCCAAATGCTTGCAATCCTTTGTATAAATAAACTTCTGTCTAGCCTCCCATTCACTTATTTTTATGATTGTTAAATTTGGGACCTCAATATCTCTCTCAAATGCCTCTACGCCAACTACATCCTGACTGAAGGAAACTGCAATTGCTAATTTGTGTTCTTACTGCATCTTGACTATGTAATATGAACAAAGCGGAATAGGTTCCTCAGCCCTGATCTGCTGTTTGATAAGATCAAGGACTGTAGAAGCAGCTTATCACCACCGTCTGGGCACACAAGGGATGGGAAATAAATGCTGGCCTGCCAATATTCCCTCGAACAAATAAAAAAAAACTAGAATCCGTATTCCTGCCTGCCCCTGAAAACTCCTCTCCCTATTTCTTTACAAGAATCTGACCACTTCTTCTGTAAAAATATTCAAGGACTCTCATCCACAAGCTTTTCAGGAAGACCGATCCAAGACTCAGAGAGAAAAAAAATCATCTAATCTCTCTTCTAAATGGGAAACCCCTTGTCTTTAAACAGTGACCCCAGTTCTTGACTGTCCTATAAGAGGAGATATTCTCTGTGCATCCATACTGCTGTCCCACAGCCATCTTTTCTCTCCCATGCTCTCACGCACTCTTTTTCTTTCTTTTACACTCTCTCTCTCTTTCGTTTTATCCCTGTTCCCCACAAAGATTTTGTGTTTCAGTCAAGCTGCCTCTTGTTCTTCTAAACTTGAGCGGATGTAAGCTTAGCTTGTCTAACCTTTCCACTGAAGATAGCCTGCCCATTCCAGGTATTTTTTTGGTAAACCTTCTCTGAACTCCTTCGAACAAATTTACATCCTTCCTTAAATAACATGACCATTATTGTACATGGTACTTAACTGGTGGTCTCACAGTGCCCTGCAAAATGAAATGTAACCTTCCTACTTTTGCAATCAATTCCCCTCACAATAAATTATAACATTCTGTTAGCTTTCCTAATGTCTTGCTGTACCTGCTCTAGTTTTATTTGTTGCCTTAAATTTCTACCCTTCATCCCTTTGTGTCATTGTTTACTATTCCTACGTTAATACTTTGCACTTTAGCTTTGGCTCCACTGTTTGATTTAGCTTCCCGAATTTGATTCCTTGTTTCCACTATGTAGGTTATAATCCTCCCTACTTCTCTAGATATGAGGCTTGCAAGGTTGGCATTGTTCAGGTGGAGCCTGTCCCATCATTTCTTTCCCAATTTCCCCAGTACTGGTGCCAGTGCCCCACAAAACAGAGCCCACTTCTCCCGCACTAGTCTTTGAGCCACACAATCATCTGTCTATGAATTTCACTCAACCTCTCTGTGGTTGACATGCAAGAATGTTACCAACTAAGCCACAGTTAACACACTAATGTAATAAAATTGTCAACAGAATAAGATTATTAATAATATTAGCATTACTTACATAGATATGAAATTCGCAAAGGGACAGAAAGCAGGGTAGCAGCAGTGAAAGGATTTTGAGACTGGCGTGACCTGTGCAGTGTTGACCCAAGTCAATGTTAGGACTGTGCTCTTTTTCATATATGTTAATGAGCTCTATTTAGGTGTACAGAGCTTTTCCTAAAGTTTGCTGATGACAGAAAATTTATAAATGTAGTAAACATTGAGAAGGATAGTACAGAAGTCAGGAAGGCATAGACAGACACAAACAATATTTATTGCAGAATGGTGTGAAGTTATGTATCTTGACAGGAAAATGTGGAGAGGCACTTTGAACTAAATGTTACAATTTTAAAGACTGTAGGGAGAAGATGAAAAGGCTGGTGCTTTTTTCCCTGGACCATCAGGGGTTGAGGGGTAACCTTATAAAGCTTTGTAAAAATCATGAGAGTTATGGATAGAGAGAAGAGCCAAGGTCTTTTTTCCTAGGGTAGGGGAATCTAAAACTAGAGGTTTAAGGTGAGAGGGGAAAGATTTTAAAAGGACCTGAGGGGTAACGTTTTCATGCAGAGGGTTGTATATATTTGGAATGAGCTGCAAGAGGTGGTGGAGGCAGGTACAATTACAACATTTAAAAGGCATCTGGATGGGTCCATGAATAGGAATGGTTTAGAAGAATATGGGCCAAATGCTGGCAAATGGGACTAGGTCAGTTTAGTATATTTGGTCAGCACAGAGGAGTTGGATCAAAGGGTCTGTTTCTATACTGTATAACTCTGACTTCTAAGGAACTTTATGAGCTTTTGAAGTTGACAGGGGACATCTGTTCCAAATGGAATACAGAATCCTTGGCTTTGTAAATAGAGGCATAGAATACAATTACTTTATTATGCTAAATGGGTAGAAAATGTTGATTCAGTCCCAGCTGCAGTATTCTGGCCAGTGTTGGGTATCACACTTTAGAGGAATGCCCAGAACTTTGAAATGTTACAAAGGACATTTACTAGAAATGTGTGAGGGATAAAGGACTTCTCTGTACAGACTAGAGAAACTGAGGTTGTTTCCCTTTAAAACAGTGATGAGTAAGGGAAGATTTTGTAGAAATGTTCAAAATATTAAAGATTGAGACTAAGAAGAAATTGTTTCCATTGTCAGAAGACTTGGCAACTAGGCCACAAATGTATGAGTGAAAACGAGGTAACGTGAAGAAAAAATAGTTCGCACAGCTAGTTGGTATAATCTAGAAAATACTACTGACAAGATAATGGAAGCAGTAACTTTCAAAGCAAAACTGCTAAAGTGCTTAGAAAGGGAAAACCATGCTGAATTTTGTGCAGACAAGAGAAAGGAGTAATTGGATAGTTCTTTTAAGAACTGGCAAACACCCCATGGGTCAAACATTCATCACCATTGTATCATTTAGTGATTTTAATGGGTTTTGCATTGTTAACAAATTAAAACAATGAACAAGACTAACAGCAGCTGGAAGGCAATTCACTGAACTAATGCCTGAGATGGAGGGGTTGTTTTCTGAGAAAAGTTCAAGCAAATTGTGGTCTACACTCTTGGAGTCTAAAATAATAAGAAATTACTTTATTGGAACATAAGATTCTGGGTTGATTTAAGGTAGATATTCTCCCTTGACGTCTGGGACTGGATTATTGGTTTGGTAGGAACAGACCCCACACTTGCCTCTATCACCTCCAACTACACATCCCTAAGCCCAATTATACTCAAAACTCTGATCTGCCACCCCAAGATCCAACACCCTGTCCCCCTCCAGACTTATTTTGTTTAAAATCACACAAAGGGTGGTGAGTACCTGGAACGCATTGCCAGAGGAGGTGGTGGAAGCAGACATAATAGCAGCATTCAAGAAGAACCTGGATGAATGCACGAATAGGAAGGGAGTAGAGGGATATGGATTCTGTAAATGAAGACAGTTTTAGTATGGAGGAGCAAAATGTGGTGGCACAGGCTTGGAGGGTCGAAGGGCCGATTCCTGTTCAGTATTGTTCTTTATTCTTTGTTCTTTGATTTCCACCTCCTGCAGTTCTTTGTCTTTTTTCTTGTATTTTGTTAAATTTTAAATCTGTGAAAGTGCAGCTACAGGAAAGACTCTCCTATTTCCATATATAGCAATTAAATAAATGTCCAGGTAATCATTCCTTGTAATCTTAGTTGCAGGAAACTGCTCACCAAGTTATTGAAACAAATCCTCTGCTCTTCTCTTGAATACTGGCAAAATATTTTTTTCCATTCATTCAAAGGGCAGTTTTGGGCTTATTCAAAAGTCGGTACCTTTGTCACTCCAGCATTGCCTCTGTGCTACACTGAAATGCTAACCTAATCTGTATAGACAAGAGCTGAAGTGAGAAATGAATGCCTGATTTCTGACTTGAGTGAGAGTGCAACTACTAAACTAAAGCTGACACTTTAAATTGGAACGATTGTTCCAGATCGTCTGTTTCATTTGACAAATTATTTTTGCTTTGTTTCTCAGTAAATTCTAAAAATTCTGTGTTCAAAAGAAAAATTACATTTTGTTTTTAAAAGGTGTATTCCAAAGCCAAAGGTTTGTCTGACTAGCATTGCATTGCTTGATTGTGACCAGTACGAGTGTATCTCAAGATCAATGAGTTGTGAGCTGCTTCCAGTTGAACCTGTTTGTGATACAGAAAATGTGGAACACTCCAATCGGTGTGCTTTGTACCAAAGAGCCAAAACATTGTCCTACATGGGCCCATGCCAGGTATGAATACACTAATTTCACTACCTTCAGGCAGCTTTATTGCTGCCTGTACTTGTAGTTATTAATGAGGAGAGACTGGCTGACTAATGTAAGAAAAGTTGGCCCCTAGCACTTTTGGCTACTTCAACCAGTTCTAAATGCCGCACCTACTTCATATTGTGTTTGGGCATCAGTTGGGGATTGTCATAAATTCTAATGGATGAAGTCATTCAATCTTACCTCTTTTTCTAACTCTTTCTGGAATGATGAGAGCACTTCAAAAAAACCTTTCCCTTGGCCCTGGTGAATTCCCCACTGTAGACCAGGTTAGAAGCCTGCAAGTGTAATTGAGTCCAAATCACATCCTGGGCCTCCTGCAGTGCCACAATGATGCCACCTGACGGTTGCAGGAACAGCAACTCATATTCCGCTTGGGAACCCTGCAGCCCAATGGTATCAATGTGGATTTCATAAGCTTCAAAATCTCCCCTTCCCCTACCGCATCCCAAAACCAGCCCAGCTCGTCCCCGCCTCCCTAACCTGTTCTTCCTCCCACCTATCCCCTCCTCCCACCTCAAGCCGCACACCCATTTCCTACCTACTAACCTCATCCCGCCCCCTTGACCTGTCCGTCCTCCCTGGACTGACCTATCTCCTCCCTACCTCCCCACCTACACTCACCTTTACTGGCTCCATCCCCGCCTCTTTGACCTGTCTGTCTCCTCTCCACCTATCTTCTCCTCTATCCATCTTCTATCCGCTTCCCCCTCTCTCCCTATTTATTTCAGAACCCCCTTCCCCTCCCCCATTTCTGATGAAGGGTCTAGGCCCGAAATGTTAGCCTTCCTGCTCCTATGATGCTGCTTGGCCTGCTGTGTTCATCCAGCTCTACACCTTGTTATCTCACACTTACTCCTGTTTGGTTCCTTAACACCTGCAGAATGTAAGGAATCCTGATAATTAAGCTTTTAATATCCTACATTACCTCTGTAGCACTTTCCTATTTCCTTCAAACTTTATACTTTTTTAACTTGACTGAGTTATTTTCATTTTAAATTTAGCTTTTACATTGTGCTTAACCAGAAATTGTCATGTATTATATTTCTGCTTTCTTAGTTACGCCTTTCAAAAACTGGGTTGCCCAAGGTTGTCTGATATTTGCATTGTCATTTAAAAAAAACACAATTGTCCATGCCACTGTAAGTAGAGTTAATGCACTTCTTATGATGCATATGCAGTTAAGGTATAGGAGCTAGAGTAGGCCATTTGGACTTCGAGCCTATTCTGCCATTCAAAATAATGGCTGATCTTCTATCTCAAATTCACTTTCCCTCACTATTCCTGTAACCTTTAGTTACCAAAAATATTAACCTTTGTCTTGAATATACACAAACTGATTGCCCACAGCCTTCTGGAATCAGATTTCCAAAGATTAGCAATCTTTTGAGTGAAGAAATTTCTTCTTATCTTAGTTTTAAAAGCGAACCTGATTCTGAGACTGACCTCATGTTCTAGAGTCCCCAGCAAAAGAAAACAAGATCTCAACATTTTCCCCCTTAAGAATTTATCTTGTTGCAGTTGAATCAGCTCTCATTCTTATAAACTCCTTGTCTAAGCCTTTCATCCCAGGAATCAATTTAATGAACCTTCGCTGCACTCTGTCTAGGGGGAGTATATCTGTCGTTGGGGAAAGAGACCAAAACTTCACACAGTGCAGATGTGACTCCATCAGTACTCTGTACAATTATAGTAAAATTCCTTTTCAACATACAATTGATATTTGTAACTAAACACTATACATGCCTATTAAACCCTGTACAAGGATACCCAGGTCCCTCTGAATGCAAGCATCTCCTGGTCTCTCACCATCCAAACAATATTCAGCACATTCATTTTTCTTATCATCAATATGTATAATTTCACACTGCTGGAGGGTTGTTTTTTGGACTGGAGGCCTGTGACTAGCGGTTTTCATGGGGATCGGTACAGGGTCCACTTTTGTTTATCATTTATATAAATGATTTGGATGAGAATATGGGAGGCATGGTTAGTAAATTTGCCAAAATTGGTGATATAGTGGACGCTGAAGTAAATTGCATAAGATTACAAAGAGATCTGCATCAATTGGGTCAATGGGCTGAGGAGTGGCAGATGGAGTTTAATTTGGATAAATGTGAGGTATTGCATTTTGGTAAAACAAACAAGGGCAGGACTTATAAAATTAATGGTAGGGCCCTGGGTAGTGTTGCAGAACAGAGACCGAGGGGTTCATGTGCATAATTCTTTGAAATTTGTGTCACAGGTAGACCAGATGGTTAAGAAGGCGTTTAGCATGCTTGCCTTCATTGCTCAGACTACACAGGACGTTGGTGAGGCCTCTTCTGGAATACTGTGTATAGATCTGGTTGCCCTGCTATAGGAAGGATATTATTAAATTGGAGAGGGTTCAGAAAAGATTTACCAGGAAGTTGCTGGGAATGGAGAGTATGAGTTATAAAAATAGGCTGGATAGGCTGGGACTTTTTACAATGGAATGTAGGAGGTTGAGGAGTGACCTTATAGAAGTTAATAAAATCATGAGGGGCATAGAAAAGGTGAATAGCAAGGGTTTTTTTCCCATGGTGGAGGAGTTCAAAACTAGGGGCCATATTTCTAAGGTGAAAGGAGAAAGTTTTAAAAAGGTCATGAGGGACAACTTTTTTACACAGAGTGGTTCCTGTGTGGAATGAATTGCCAGAGGAAGTGATGGATGTAGGTACAGTTACAACATTTTAAAAATATTTGGACAGGTACATGAATAGGAAAGGTTTAGAGGGGTATGGGCCAAACACAGGCAAGTAGGACTGGTTTAGTTTGGGAACATAGTCGGCATGGACTAGTTGGAGTGAAGGGTCTGTTTCCTTGCTGTATGATTCTATGACATTACATCTATATTCCTAGTCCCCAATCCTGCTCAGTAACCCCTTCAAAGTCACAGATTTGTAAATAGCTGAGGCTCAAGTGCTGATCCTTGTGGTACTCTGCTGTACAATCAGCCAACCTGAAAACATCCTTTTACAACCACTTTTTCTGATCATTAACTAATGCTCAATCCCATGAATCCTAGTTATCTATGTAGGTTGGGTGCTTTCGCCATGGCCTGTTTCCACACTGTAGGGATTCTGTGATTCTAATAATCTATAATAACCATTTGTGTGGTACCTTTTTTTAGTAAACCAAACGTACAGTATCCATTAGTTTCCTTCCTTATCCATTATTTAAATGTCTTCAATTTCCATGTCTTCAAAAAAAACTTGACATTTGACAAACACGAATTCCCTTTCATAAATCCACGTTTAATCATATTGGGATTTTCTAAATGCTCTACTATCATATCCTACATTATAGATTTGATTATTAAGCTTACTACTGGTACGTTATTTATTTCCCCTCTCTTCCTGCTTTCTTAAAGAGCTATGCTATGAGACCATTTCTTAGTAACTGTTCTAGAATTTAGGGAATTCTAAAGGATCAAAAGTGCGTGCAACATCTCTGCAGGTATCTCTTCTAAAACCCGAGGATGCAGATCATCCGGTCACCACTCAGTCTTGTTCACTTATCTTAAATTAATACTTGTCAATTTAAGTTCCTCCATCTTGCTAGACCCTTGGTTCCCCATTAATCTGGATTTTGTTTTCTTTTAGTGTGAAGGCAGATGCAATACTTGTTTCCTAATCCTCTGTTTCTAATGGGTCCGCACTTGGCTTTAATTGATCTCTGATGCCTATAAAAATGTTTACAGCTTGTTTTTATGTCATTTGCTAATCTATTCTCCTATTCTCTTTTCTCTTTCCTCAGCAGTCTTTTGGCACTTTGCTGACGTCTGCTTAATGCTCACTCTTAGCACTCTTTTAACAACATTATCAACCTCTTCCTTTGATCTGATGTTATTTTAAGCTCATCTTGTTGGCTATTATTAATCACTTTTTATGTTGGGGTTGTTATGCCTTAAAGGAAAATATATTTGTTGCAGATTATTATTTCTTGAAATGCTAGTCATTGCTTATCTATGATCATTTCTTTTAATGCAGTCTACCTTTGTCAATTCACCCATCATAAGTACATAACTTAATTCTTTGATTTATGTTCCTAGTTTTGGACTTAACTAAATCACTAGAACATTCTTTCATATTGACTCATTCGTTCTCAGAGACTGCTTAACAGGTTATTATTTGAGCCTTTTTGGACAATACCAGATCAAACAATAGCCTGTTACCTATTTGGTTTACTTATGATTAAAGTCTGCATGATTACAATATTGTCCATGTTGTACGTACTTTTTTTGCTTTGTATTTTACCAACTATATTTGGGTGCTGCTTTGTTCAATTCTGCCTTTAAATCACTTGCTAATTTAAAATAATGACAGAAATATTGCTGTCAAAATAACAGTGAGGTTACTAGTGCTTACTGTTATTGAAGTGCACCTATCAAAGCGTAGGTAGATGTGAGATCAAATGTAGAAATCACAATGATGCTGCCAGAGATCCACCACAATGCTGTTACGTATGACTCTCCATTCAAATGGATTGAAAGGTATATTTGCATGGTACGTTTGCTGTAACCTTGCTCATGAAAGTTAAATCAAGTCATTTCAAGTCTAAGTACCTTTTAATGACCTACTGGGTGTTAATTACTGCATTAAATTGTCTGGCACTGGAAATTAACTGTTACAATCCATCTCATTTTCTGCTGTTTGTTTCAGTCCAATTTATTTTTCCCTTGTTATTTCTCTTTCTGTTTCTGATCTGAAATTTCATTCACCTACTGTAATTTGCACTTCCTTTTCCAAAATTTTGCATAACTTATAATCTTGCACGGTGGCTCAGTGGTTAGTACTGCTGCTCCACAGTGCCAGGGACCCAGGTTCAATTCGACTCTCGGGCAACTGTCTGTGTGGAACTTGTATATGCTTCCTGTGTCTGCGTGGGTTTCCTCTGGGTGCTCCAGTTTCCTCCCACTGTCCAAAGATGCTAAATTGCCCATAGTGTCCTGGGATGTGCAGGCTAGTTGGGTTTACCATGGGAAATGCAGGGGTAGGGGGTCGGTCTGTGTGGAATGCTCTTTGGGGGTTGGGCAGCGTGCACTGTAGACTAAATGGACCAAATGTCCTGCTTCCACACCGTAGAGGTTCTATGATTCTAATTACGTAAGAAGATGTTTGCTTGTCTGCTCACTCAGTTGCCAGATGTCCTGTATAGATTGAAAGACCCTGTTTCATATAAATTAATAATCTTGTTATGCCCCCTCTCCCCAGTCTAAGTTTTAAAATCTAAGTTACTTTGTATAATACTTGTGGGATAGCAATAAGATGAGTGCACCAACTGAAATTCTAGGATTTAAAAATAACTCCCTTTTTAACAAGGCTAAACTTAACTGACTACTCAAACTATCATAGACTTGCTCTGACCTGTTCTAATATCTAATGTTAACCAGTTAATAAAAATGTTTGCATCCATGTTTAACGTGTTTTTAATACAATAAATTGGTACCAATGTTTTCAAAGTGATCAGTTTAAGGTTTAGACTTCATGTGTGTAATAAAAACCGAAAGAACTGCAGATGCTGTAAATCAGGAACGAAAACAAAGTTGCTGGAAAAGCTCAGCAGGTCTGGCAGCATCTGAAGGAAAAAACAGAGTTAACGTTTCTGGTCCAGTGACCCTTCCTCAGAACTGATGAAGGCTCTGAGGAAGGGTCACCGGACCTGAAATGTTAACTGTTTTTTCCCTTCACAGATGCTGCCAGACCTGCTGAGCTTTTCCAGCAACTTTGTCTTTGTTTATGTGCGCAATGTTAGTTTTACTAATAATTTTAGTTATAAAATAAAGTACAATATTTCACATGAAATAATTCATATTTTATTGAAAGCTTTGTTTTTGGTTTTGTCTTTCCTTTGAAGGATATATGTAGGCAGCAGTCAGTCTGTGGTCATAATGGTGAGACCTATGATAATGTATGTGCTGCTTACTCCGATCGTGTGGCAGTGGATTATATTGGACGTTGCCAAGCTGTAGGCATTCTCCCCAGTAACAATTCTCACCCAGAGTGCTCATCTGTCACATGTTCACCGCTCCCTAGCAATGGATGCAAACCTGTCACTCCACCCGGTAAAGAAAAAGTCTAACCTTGTCTTCTCTAGAACTGGAAATTTGATTAGCTGTTTCTTGTTAAGTTCTGACACATGTTGACATTCATCTCAAACTCTCATATATGGTTGCTTCAACTGGACATATTTCCCTTTATGACACTTGGTGAAAAAGATCATTTGCATGAAGAGAGCAGAGAAATATTTTGCATGAAAAATGGTATACCTTTAACTGAGCGTTGTCTATTTGATACTTACCTGCCCATCAATTCATTTAAATGGGTATGATTTATTATAGACATGTGCCCCTCTTGCCAGATTTACCTGTGTTTTGTCCTGACAATCCTTTTCATCCGAGTGCTAATCTGGCCAAGTTTCCAATATTGGCTCACACCAAAAAACACTTTAACAACTCTTTTCCTGTAAACGGTTGAATGTTTTACTAAGTAAAAATATGTTGCTTTTAAGAAAAAAAAGTTGGAAAATTGTTGATGTCTTCCAGGAGCCTGTTGCCCACTGTGTGCTGGGATGCTACGTGTATTATGGAGCAAAGATCAGTTGGACCGCCTTGCGAAGGTAATTTGTAAACATAGAATTAAAGGAAATAGCTTCACATTAATTTAAGAGTATAATTGACTAAAGTGGTTAATTTCTGTCACAGTTGTTTCCAAACATCTCTTTGTCGAGGAAACTCTACAATTATTTATCCAGTTCTAGACAACCCTTGTCCAAGCTTCAACAGAAACAGAGCCAAGTCTTACTATCTCCCGATAGTTTTCTCATATCAAATTTTACTTGGGTGGATATATCCATAATTTAAAATGGTTTTATATTGGCTGTATTATTTATTTTATTTTTTTTATTTATTTTATTTCTGTTTATTTCTGTTGTTGATGTAAAACAATACACAATTTTATATATAGACAATTATGTATAAAATAAAGCCAACTGGTTACTTGGGTAAAAGTCAATAAACCTGCATTTATTATAATCTGTTTAATATAGTGTGGATGAGTGCCTGTTTAAGTTAACGAGATCAAGTGTGACTGGATAGAAATTTTGCAGATTAGGGTATATGTATTTGCAAGTTAATCATATCAGAATCCCCACTGTTTTCAAATGTGAAATGGACGTAACTTACCTTCATAAGTCTTGTGGGGGCAGAAGCAGGATTTTTACATATAAATATTGTATGAACAACTCACTAGGATAAGAGATTAATGTTTGACCTGATTAGTGAAAAGGCTGAATAATGAGATTGCGTGTCTGATGAGCGAAAATCGAGATGTTGCAACATGCTTTGGAAATACAAGTACTGCAGATTTTCTTGTCCAAGTCAGTATTTCTTCACCCTGTGGCACGTGAGGGAATCTATGGATTTGAAGTGCCTAAAAGATTAAGAACACTGAAGACATTATCCAACGATTACTTTTGAAATTGTTTAAAATGTTATCAATTTTGTGTTTAAAAAATGTCAATGTATACTTTTGATAATGTATGACTAAAAGTCATACAAGTAAATTTTATATTCATGACATCCATGATCTCTTCCCCTCACTTTTGTTACCATAGCTGAAGTTATCTTGCTCATACCTTACTTCTTTGAGCCTTAATACTACAATTATTTCTCTGTCTTGGAGACTTCAGCTATTAACAAACAGTTCGCCATTACTGCATAGTTTTAACTTTTGTTTGTCAAATGTTTTAACCTCTTTGAAATGTTAAAATTGTGCTCTTAACACATTCTTGGCTTTTTGAGATCTGCTTTAAAAGTTCTGAACAACTTCCCTTGTACTTCTAACTTAGCAAAGAATCTTTTTTGAAACCTCCAAATGTTTTAATCTTGGTTGGCAAAGCAAAGCCTTAACTACCATAAAAGTAAACTAGTAGCGATGTTCTCGTTAGATCAGGCAGCATCTGTGGAGACCGAAATGCAGTTAACATTTAGGTTATGACCTTTCATCAGGACTTGCAGCCATCTATTTTACCATGGAAATCTATTAGTAACTAATGAAACTAAAGTAACTATTAGTAACTAATGAATTCCGTCACAGGAAACCTTTTCCAAGGTGTGAATAGACATTCCAGAAATTAAATAGCTTTATCAAGAACATGTCTCCAATAAAATGTTATAACTCATTTTGTGTTGCTAATATTTAAATGATAATAACAGAACATATTTTGTAGTTTGAGGGTTGTATAAGACACTTCCTAGGTATTAACTTTATTTAAGGCTTGTGATTCATTAAATTGAAACTGACTGAAGTTAGCATACCAACATACGATAGACCACCAAAGGGGATTTGGTATAGTTCAGATGTTTACAACTAAGATTCTAGATGTTTGTTTGGGATTTTGAACAATACCTGCAAAATTTAAAAATACCCTTCATATCATATCATCCCTACAGTGTGGAAGCAGGCCATTGGGTCCATCGAGTCCACACCAACCCTCCAAAGAGCATCCCACCCAGACCCACCCTACCCTAGGCATTATGGGCAATTTGGCATAGCCAATCCACCTAACCTGCACATCTTTGGAGTGTGGGAGGAAACCCACACAGACACGGGGAGAATGTGCAAACTCCACACAGTCACCCAAGCCTGGAATCAAACCCAGGTCCCCGGTGCTATGAGGCAGCAGTGCTAACCACTGAGCCATTGTGCTGCCTTAAGTTGCTGAAGTTGCATGACTAGCTTCCATGCAGTGTTGTGTTCAGCTGAATCATACCTGTTCCATTTCCCTTTTACCTGTTCAATTTCTTTTCCACCTGAAAGTTTGCTCTGCTGCTTTAGGTTCCTGAGCTACAGTTACAATTTTCGATCTATATTATACAGACTCTAAGGATCCATGACCTAGGACAGTCCAGTAACTGGGTTTTCACCCACTGCCTGTATTTCTTAACAGATTTCCGTCCCCTTTGTTTAACAGATCATTAGGTTTGATATCATAATCTCTCCTAACTCTGTCTGGGGATTGGCCAGTTGAACTACCAATTGTTATGAAGTTGTGTAGAGTAATCGTGAAATGGAAGGCAGAAGGTGTTTATGACTTGAGAACAGCAGAAGAACAGCGTGTAGACTTTGAGTTTTAATTTTTTCTTATTACTTGGATTTATGTAAGTGGGGCTTGTGTTTATTGGAACAGCATACCAGCAGAATTTAGTTCAGTTAGAGAATGGTTAGTAATTAAGGGGGAATTGTTTGGTTTGTTAGTAATTATGTTAATTTGTTCATTGTTAGGGTTAAATAAATGAATTGTTACCTTGTTACTTATAAAGTGAATATCAGGGATTTTCTTTCATTTAACCTCCCCTTCTCTGTAATTGTTTAACAGGTTAGGCGATATGAAGCAAGCTTCTCTGAGTATTTCGGGTTTAATTATTAGAAGGGGACCTCTGCTCCCACGGTAACAGACTGGGGACTTGTGTTTCAATTTTAATTATCAGAGGGGTTCGACCTCCCCTTCCTAACACAATCAATTGACCACCATCCATTTGAGTGATCAGATTTCTTCTGGTTACATCTATTAGCTCATATGAATGAAACTAGTATATTGTACTCAACTCAATGGGAGATGTATTATAGATTTTGGTTATTAACATATAACCAGAGTGTATTAAAGATAGCATTAACTTTGCTAGTGTGGACATTTATGCTCTGCTACTAACATGAGTCTCAATCGTTTTGGATTGGTAAATGGAACATACAAACACACACACATGCCAGTTGACAAAGTGAAAAGATTCCGATTAAGGTACTGACCAATGGCATGATTTTTGTGATTTATTTTGCCTTTTTTTTGAAGGAAAATTGAAAGAAAGTACAAATGATTCCTTTGGAGTTGTATGCAGATGTGAAATGTTATTTGCTTATTGTGAAGAAGGGGTTTGATTTGCTTGCCTTTATTGGTCAGTGCATTGAGTATAGGAGCTGGGAGGTCATATTGCAGTTGTTCAGGATGTTGGTTTGGCCGCTTTTGGAATACTCTGTGCAATTCTGGTCTCCCTGCTATAGGAGGGATGTTGTGAAAGTTGAAAGGGTTCAGAAAAGATTTATGAGGATGTTGCCAGGGTTGGAGGGTTTGAGCTGTAGATAGAGGGTGAATAGACTGGGGCTATTTTTCCTGGTGCGTCGGAGATTGAGGGGTGACCTTATAGAGGTTTATAAAATCATGAGGGGCATTGATAGGGTAAATAGACAAAAAGCACCACTTTACAGCTATCTTCTGTATTCAGCGTAAGCCAATTTTGTATTCAAGTTAAGTTTCCCAGGGGTGGGGGAGTCCAAAACTAGAGGGCATAGGTTTAAGGTGCGAGAGGTAAGATTTAAAAGGGACCTAAGGGGCAACTTTTTCATGCAGAGGGTGATGCGTGTATAGAATGAGCTGCCAGAGGAAGTGGTGGAGGCTGGTACAATTATAACATTTAAAAGGCATCTGGATGGTTATATGAATAGGAAGTGATAGGAGGGATATGGGCCAAATGCTGGCAAATGGGACTAAATTTATTTAGGATATCTAAATGGTCGACATAGATGAGTTGGACCAAGGAGTCTATTTCCGTGCTGTATATCTCTCTGACTCTATATGAATGCCATGTTATTGATGAAACAGAATGCTTTTCTTCATGGTAAGTTAGAAATATGCCGTTCAGCCCCTCAAAGCAGGTCTACCAATCTGTTGGGTAAAGGCTGATCTCTACCATGACCACAGTTAAAAGTTTAGAAGCTTGAATTATAATTGTTTTAAATAGTTAATTATCACAAGCTTGCAGTCAATTATTGGATTATGCATTTTTTCATATTGAGCATTTGTTTTCTTTACAGTTAAATGGGGGACAACCAGTCTCTGTACACGACATCATTTATATTTTGCGTTTCCACGTTTCAGTACCTCAATGTGATGTTTTTGGCTACCTAAGTATAGAATCTGACCTCGTGATCCTCATCATTCCAGTGGATCAAGATCCAACAACTTTACAAGTATGTGTATAAATATTGTGTACATTTTTATATGTAATAGGGAATAGTATTTATACAGTAAATGTTCTATGGAAAATTTGTTTTGTTCAGTAATTTATCTGTGTAATTCAAAGTCTTCCATTTAATGTGTACGATTTCTGTCTCATTTTTCAAAGGTGTTACACCTGAATGTGCCCGTTTCGAGATGTCTTGCCTGCAAACATGGGAGCAGGAGAAGATGATTCAGTTTTTTATTTAAAAGTCTGGTTTACCACTAAATTAAATCATGTCTGATTTACAGCTGACAAAAACAACATTTGTTGTCCATTCCTAAACTGACACTGAGAAGGTGGTGGTGAATTTCCACCTGTTGTCCTTGTTCTCTTATGTAGTAGAGTTGCAGATTTAAAAGGTATTACGGGTATCATAACATAGACGGGAGTTCATGCTCACTAATCCATTTGAAAATGTTGCTTAAACCAAAAGAGTTTGAAAGATGCAGTCTTCATAGGTCATGTTGCAGCTATTCAGGATGTTGGTTAGGACACTTTTGGAACGCTGTGTGCAATTCTGGCCTCCCTGCTATAGGAGGGATGTTGTGAAAGTTGAAAGGTGTTGAGGTTGGTTGGCTCGCCGAGCTGGTTTGTTATTCCGCAGACGTTTCGTTACCATGCTGGGTAACATCCTCAGTGCAGCCTCCGATGAAGCGTTGGTGTGTTGTCCCGCCTGGTTTTTAAACTCTGGAGTCCGTTGAGCTGGATTGCCTCACTTCCGGTTTTCCTTCATAGTGGAGTGTATATGGGGTCGAGTTCTATGTGTTTGTTAATGGCTTTCTTCGTGGAGTGCCATGCTTCTAGGAATTCTCGTGCCTGTCTCTGCCTAGCCTGTCCCAGGATCTTGGTGGTGTCCCAGTCGAATTGGTGGTTCTCCTTGTCCATGTGGATTGAGATGAGTGAGTATCGGTCGTGTCTTTTTGTGGCCAGTTGGTGTTCATGTACTCTTGTTGTTAGTTTCCTTCCTGTTTAACACTACATCGGACAAACAGGAAGGAAACTAACAACAAGGGTACACGAACACCAACTGGCCACAAAAAGACACGACCGATACTCACTCATCTCAATTCACATGGATAAGGAGAACCACCAATTCGACTGGGACAACACCAAAATCTTGGGACCAGCTAAGCAGAGACAGGCATGGGAATTCCTAGAAGCCTGGCACTGCACAAAGAAAGCCATTAATAAACACGTAGAACTCGACCCCATATACACTCCACTATGAAGGAAAACCGGAAATGAGGCAATCCAGCTCAACGGACCCTAGAGTTTAAAAACCGGGCGGGAAAACACACCAACGCTTCATCGGAGGCTGCACTGAGGATGTTACCCAGCAGGGTAACGAAACGTCTGCGGAATAACAAACCAGCTCGGCGAGCCAACCAACCTCAACACCCACAACCCGAGCTACAAATCTACTCCAAAACCTTAAGTTGAAAGGGTTCAGAAAAGATTTACGAGAATGTTGCCAGGGTTGGAGGTTTGAGCTGTAGACAGAGGCTGAATAGACTGGGGCTATTTTCCCTGGCGTGTTAGAGTTTGAGGTGTGACCTTATAGAGGTTTATAAAATCATGAGGGGCATTGGTAGAGCAACTTAATCTTTGGACTAGCTTACCATCAGCACCTTGTCAGATAATTTAGTGAAGTCCGTATAGAAAATATCCACTGCCCAACCCTTATCAATCATCTTCGTCACTTCCTCAAAAAACTCAATCAAGTTTGTGAGACAAGACCTCCCAGCATAAAATGATGCTGACTATTCATGATAACTACATTCTTCTCCAAATGTGCGTAAACCCTGTCCTTAAGAATCTTCTCCCATAATTTCCCTACCATTGATGTAAGGCTTGCCTGCCTATAATTTCCTGGTTTTCCTTGTTAAGGAAGGAACAACATTTCCTATTCTCCAGTTTGCTGGGATGTCGCCTGTGACTAAAGAGGATACAAAGATCGCTGTCAAGGCCCTAGCAATCTTCTCCCTTGTCTCCTTCAGTAGCCTGGGATAGATCCTGTCAGGCCCAGGGGACCTATCTACCTTAATGTTTTTCAAGATCCTAACACCACCACCTCCTTAATATCAACATACTCGAGAATATCAACATACCCCTCCTTAATCTTGCCATCACCTATGTCCTTCTCCTTGGTGAACGCCGAAATACTCATTAAGGATCTCACCAACGTCCTCTGGCTCCATGCATAAGTTCTGTCTTTTGTCCTTGAGTGGATCTGCCCTTTCCCTAGTTACCCTCTTGTTTGTATTATGCATATAAAATGCCTTGGGATTCTCCTTAATCCTACTTGTTAAGGATGTTTCTAGCCCTCCTAATTTCTTGTTTGAGTTCTTTTCTGCTTTCTCTACTCTCCTCAAACACCTCGTTTGATTTCACTTTCTTAAATTTTATTGTTTCCTTTCTCTTCTTGACTAAACTTTCAATATCTCATCATCCAAGGTTCCTGAATCTTGCCGTCTTTATCTTTCATCATCACAGAATATGCTGGTCCTGTACTCTGAACTCAATCGATATGAGATAATGAGAGTAAAAATTCTTCCCATGTCATAAATGAATCAAACTCAGTATCTGCATTGGAACATTTTTATTATGTAACAATGGGACCTCTTAGAGCAATCTTGGCTATCTTTAATATTCTTAATATTCTTAGTAGTGTAAAACCTTCCGTAAAACTGCTGAAAGAAAAGTGGTAGTTGGGAAGTATAATTAATTTGAATATCAGGATTGAAATGAAGAATTCAGCTAGGCAAAACCCATTGGATTGAATTTAGGTTTAACCACAGATTATGGCTACATTGTGTACCATCAAACAGTCAATAGTTGAGGGTGAATCATCGATTCTGTGATTACACATAGAAGGATAATATTTAGCCTGAGAAGCCTGTGTCAACTCGAGAGTAATTTAGCTAACCTCAGTCCCCAGCTTTGTCTCATTTGTTATTTGTGGAATTGTTCAATGTGCAGATTAGCTGCCTCATTTGTTAGATTACAATAGTGATTGTGCTACTGTAGTACTTCATTGTGTGATAATGCACATAGGGATGTCTGAGGTTGTGAAAGCCAATATGTAAATGCAAGTTTTTTTTTCTATTCATTTGTGGGATGTGGGCAGTGCCAGCTGGGCCAGCCTTTCTTGCCCACATCCCTAGTTCCCCTTGAGAAGGTGGTGGTCACCTGCCTCCTTGAACCGCTGCAGTCCACCTGCTGTGGGTTGACCCACAATGCCATTAGGGAGGGAATTCCAGGATTTTTACCCAGCGACAGTGAAGGAACAGTGATATATTTCCAAGTCAGGATGGTGAGTGGCTTGGAGGGGAACTTGGAGGTGGTGTGTTCCCATATGTCTGCTGCCCTTGTCCTTCTAGATGGAAGCAGTTGTGGGTTTGGCAGGTGCTGTCTGAGGACCTTTGGTGAATTTCTGCAGTGCATTTTGTAGATGGTACACACCGCTGCTACTGAGCGTCGGTGGTGGAAGGAGTGGATGCTTGTGGATGTAGTGCCAATCAAGCGGGCTGCTTTGTCCTGGATGGTGTCAAGCTTCTTGAGTGTTGTTGGGGCTGCACTCATCCAGGCAAGTGGGGAGTATTCCATCACACTCCTGACTTGTGCCTTGTAGATGATGGACAGGCTTTGAGGAGTTAGGAGGTGAGTTGCTCGCCGCAGTATTCCCAGCTTCTGACATGCACTTGTAGCCACTGCATTTAAGTGGTGAGTCCAGTTGAGTTTCTTGTCCTTGATAACCCTCACGATGTTGATAGTGGGGGATTCAGTGATGGTAACACCATTGATTTCTTGAAATTTCTTTGCGTTAACTCGGCATTTACAATTATATTGTGTCTTTGTCATTGGTGTGGTCCAAACTGTACAAAATGTAATCCTGAGCATTTTTAAATGTTTACTTTTGAAAATTCTTTTAAGTATTAATAACTGTTTTTGTTATTCTAGATTGAGGCTTGCAATAAAGAGGCTGAGAAGATTGACTCTCTCATACAATCTGGTAGTCCAACTTTAATGGCCCATGTACCTCTGTCAGCACTTACCACCTCACAGATGCAAGTTTCATTACTGGATTCATCTGACTCTGCAAAGACAATCCTCTCCTCATCTGCACTTTTACTAAGCCTAGTGGTTGCTTTGTCAGGATTTTTATGATTCAGAAAGACATTGCATCTTATAAAATCAGGACAAGTCTGCATTTAACTTGCTCTTGTGGAATGCATGCTTAATGGCTGAACTACAACTCCCTACATAGTAAATATAGAGGAAGAGAAGCCAATGAGCTATACAAAATTTAAACTTTGGCATCTTCTAAATGCAAGTAGAATTCAAAATATATCTTTATACAGGCCTTTTTATGAAGGGCTTTGTTTATTTTATTTAAAATGATTGCAGTTTAAATTAGTTAGCTATAGTGCATTTATTTCTTAGAACTGTTTGATTATAGTTTGTACCGTGAAGTGCAACTTGACATAAAATAGGGAATTGATTGAATTCAATACCGAAAGATTTGACATGATGCAATTTGATCAATATTGCATCAGTTTAAATCATGTATTAAGTTTATAATCTAGAGCACAAGCGGGCCTTTTGACCCAACAGGTATGCATCAGTGTTTAAATTCCATACAACTGTAATAACTAATAATATTTTTCCTGGAATGATTTCTTTTCACCTCCTCCATTACACTTATTGATCTAAATTCACATTCCTCATGTTCAGTTCTTCATTTTTCACCATTTTTGCTTTCAAATGCTTTCATAAGTTTGATCACATTAGTTAGATTACCATAACTGCCATTTTTGCTATAGTGAACACGTCCCTGGTTATCTTATCATATCTCTGGGGCACCCTGCTTGCTCCAATGTAAAATTGACTTGTTACCATTTTCTGTTTTCTTCCTTTTAATTATGTTTACACATATGTCACCTATTTTGCCCTTAATAGTTTGGGTCTTAAATTTTGCAACATGTTTCTTAGTACTTTACCAAATTTTGCTCAGAAATTCTGAATTTCCTACATCCAGTGCAAAACTTTTGTCTACAGACTTAACAATTTTTGGAAGAATTTGATAATATGTCTGAAGCTTGAGCTACCCTTAAATCCATTAGCACATACGTTTCTAATGCTCCCCCTATTTAGAATCTCCAGTAGTTTTTCAGCCACTAATGTGAGCGTTATTGAGCTGTAATGATGTTCATGAACCCCAAGACCTAAGCACACTTGCAATCCTACAAGAAATTTTGTGAAATTACCTCTGCTATTGCAGCTGTAATGAGCCTGTTTTCTGAAGGGTGCACTCTTTAGGTCAGGATAATTGTTAATTTAAACTAGATTTGTTTAATGCAATTTACTTCCTACTTTTTAATAGATCTATTGGTCCTATACGTGCTTCTTAGGACTTCACCAGTGCATTCATCTGTATTCATAGAGATCAGAAACTTAAAGCATACGTGATGATGTTAAAACAGAAATAGCTGGAAAAGCTCAGCATAACTGGCAGCATCAACCAGTTCTATTAAACGGTCTCTGGACCCGAAATGTTAATTCTGCTTTCTCTCCACCATGCTGCTAGACTTGCTGTGTTTTTCCAGCAATTTCTGCTTTTGTTTCTGATATCCAGCATCTGCAATTCTTTGATTTTCTGTAATCATGCTGTTCGCACTTTACAAGTCCCATTGCTTTGTTGACGGTGTTTTTTTGGAGGTCAATTTATTGAATAATAGCTTTCTCTCTGTCAGCCAGACTCAGTTGGTGGCAAAAACTTCCCTGAACCACAAAGTTCTTAGTCCAAGCCCCATTCACGGCTCAAGCACAAACTTCAAGGCTGATACTCCAGTGCATTACTAGGGAGAACATTGCACTGTTGAAGGGGCTGTGTTTTGGATAAGTCATTAAACCAAAGTCCTGTCTGCCTGCTTAAGTAGATATAAAAGATCCAGTGGCATTATTTCAAAATGAAAACAGCAGAGGAGTTATCCTCTGTGTCATGGCCACTATTTATTCCTCAATCCAAATTACCGAAAAAAAAAAACATTATCTGGCCATTATCGCATTGCTTAACAGCGACTGTATTTCAATAAGTAGTCCATTGGCTGTCAAATGGTAGTGAGAATTGGTATATAAGTGCAAGTCATCTTCTAGCCATTCAAAACACATTTTAAAAAAAAGGGAATGCTTTTTTTTTTGCTTTGACTATTTCTTCTGGTTAACCAGAGGCTTTTTTTGTTAGAACAAAAACAGAATTGCTTGGAAACATTCAGCAGGTCTGGCAGCATGTGTGGAGAGAAAGCAGAGTTAACACTTTAAGTCCAGTGACTCTTCAATCTCCAGAACTCTCCAGTTCTGAATAAGAGTCACTGAACTCAAAATATTAACTGACACATTCTCCACAGATGCTACTAGACCTGCTCCTCCAGCAATTTTTGTTTTGGTTTCAGCTTTCCAACAGCTATGGCTCTTTCTGTTTTTATATTTCCTTATTTTGACTTAATCTTGTTCATCCAAGCTACCTGTGCTCCTGCTGTCATGTTTTCAATTGCACTGTACCTATTTTCACACTTAACTGTTTTCTGTTGTTTCTTTATTATTTCAACCTGCCAATCTTACTATCTGATTAGGTGTTCTTTACATTGTGTGCTTCTTTGCTCCAGGTTCTTTATATCTCCCTTACTCCACCTCTCATTTGCTTTCATTGAATTTAGTCTTTATTGCAAAGGTATCCAACTCTTTGAATGCCTAAGGTCATTTTCAAACTTCAAAACACATACACATTTTATATTTGTAGTTCAAAATGCTGGAACTTCCTAAAGAATGTCATTCTGTAACAAACACTAAAGTCCTGTACACTGACACTACTCATTTCTTATATTTTGAAACAACTCAATGAATACTTTTGATGATACAGGAGCAATGCTTAACCCCTCTTGGTACTAATCGTATCATCTGCTCGATTTCCAGTAGTACAGTCGGAAATTTGATTGAAACCTGGAAAATCTCATTTTGTATGAAGCATATCCCCCAAACCATATCCAGTTTATCAAATTATTTATTGACTAACCCTCCCATGTCCCAAGGGAGCTAAATGAACACAGCTAAAATTTTGTACCCACAGTTTTAAAGGGAGACCAGAGATATTTGTGTATATGCAAATCTTTGAAATTGGCAGTACAAGTTGACATCGTTTTCAAAATGCAGAATCCAGAAACCTTTGCATGTAGCTTTACATGCAGGTAGAGAGTACAAAAGGAATGAAATTATGCTGTAAGTTTTATGGATCACTGGTGATTTTCCAGCTGGTGTATGCTTTTGAAAGCAAATCAAAGTATTAGGATACACAGGAAATCTATTAGAATTGTACCGAGGATATGGAACTTCTTTTACAAAAGGATAAAAGAATTTTGGGCTGTTTGCTCTCTGAGCAGAGAAGGTCACAAGGATATTTAATATATGTTTTTAATCTCTTGAAGAGTTTTGAAAGAGTAAATAAGGAGAAGTTTTTTTTCCAGTAGCAGAAGAGTCAGTAACTGAAGGACCCAGATCTAAGATTATTGATAAAAGAACCAGGGGCAAGATGAGTTCTTTTTAACTGCAGGATGTGATCTGAAATGCACTACCTAAAAGGCTGCTGGAACAATTCCATTAACAAATTTAAAAGGGAATTGGATAAACATTTCAATGGAAGACTTTATAGATCTGAATGAAAAGCCCACTAATGTGAAACAAATTGAGTAGCTCTTTCAAATTGCTAACAAATGCACAATGGGCCAGTGGTTTCCACCTGTGCTATTGGATACTATGATTTTTAATTCATTCATGGAATCTGGACCTTACTGACTAAGTATGCATTAATACAGTTCTATCATTTCATTCGATTGAGTTTGTCCTGGACCCTAGAGGTTATCCAAGGTACGAAACCAACTGTTCAATTCCCATTGTTCAATTCTATCCAAATGCATTTCACAGATTGTAATATCATCATAGATCCCTACAGTGCGGAAGCAAGCCATTCAGCCTATCAACACCACACTGAACCTCTAAAGAGCATCCTACCCAAATTCATCCCCCTACCCTATCCCTGTAATCCTGCATGTCCCATGGCTAATCCAACTAGTCTGGACATCCCTGGACACTGTGGGGCAATTTAGCATGGTCAATCCATCTAACCTGCACATCTTTGGACTGTGGGAGGAAACCGGAGCACCCGGAGGAAACCCACGGAGAAAATGTGCAAATTCCACGCAGATGGTCACCTGAGGGCGGAATTGAACCTGGGTCCCTGGAGCTGTGAGGCAGTAGTACTAACCACTGAGCCACCGTGCCGCCCTCAACACAAAAGTATGAGCCAATTTTACAAATTTGCCTCAGTGCTGATCTTCCCAACCAGGGAGCGTATTCAGGCAAGTAGGTGACATGCAGTACAAGCTTTTAGTCTTAGTTGCTGGAAAGTCTACTGAATCACTGACTTCACACTTGAATACTTGATGTACACAGCCACTATCAAAATACAAAATTACAGTGGGTGTTTAGTAAACTTCACCCTGAAAGAGTTTGGGCAGATCAGATGCTCGAGCTTTTTAAAACAAGTGAACAGAACTACCTGCTTAACCTGCTCCTCTGATGCTGCTTGGCCTGCTGTGTTCATCCAGTTCTACATCTTGTTATCTCTGCCTGCTTAACATGTTAGCTACAAAGTGGACAGACATTTAACATGCTGTAACTCCGAGATCTAGACAACTGGCACATGAATGAACATTTAAATAATTTAGTTAAGATTTTTAAAGTAAAGAAATAGACCAACTGCTTGTTGTTAGCACATATTCTGGTGCCTGAGGGGTAATTTTACTTCTTGTGACTAGTTTGGTTTACTGCAACCAAGTTTTATCTGAGCTGTAAGGGTGTCTCTTTGCCCGAGGAGTGGGGTGAATCTGACTAGATTTTTAGCAGTATTAGTGCTGGCAAGAAGGTTACAGTTGCGTGAATCATTTGTTGAAGTACTATGGTAACTTATTGGTCATTTGGTAATAAAACTGCATTTTCAAGTGAAGAGGAGCTTTTTTTTAAATGAAAGGATTTCAGACCATATTTGTTTCCAAAAATTCTTCTTCAAATTGTTGAAAAGGTTTGTGCTTTCATCTTTCGCCCATGTTCAGAGTTGTCTTTAGTACAGTTCACGTTCAAGTGGCTTCATGAAAATTTTCAAAAAGAAAAGCGGAGTTTCTTTCATCAGAGGGAAAAATAGATTTATACAGAATAGAAACTAGGTGACACTTGAACTTAGTTTTGTTAATATTAGCTAAGGATTTTGAAATATTATCAGAACAATGATAGAAGTGAATTAGCTGGTAGAGCTTTCAGACCCAGAGTGCATGTGTATTACAGGAGATGTGTTGGAGCAGGAGGATAAGGCAGACAATCCCGTAATGCATGTCAACTTCATATCCATTGACCCACATTTCTAGTCTTAATTCCATTATATAATGCGCTTGATTTCAGTTTCTGACAATTCTCCATCACTTAACTGACGAACACAGCTTAATTGGATAGCATGAAAGTTATCATGGCTTTTCAAACCTGCTGCTCAGCCATTGTATACACTTCACAGCTGGCTTAATGATTATTTTGCTCTGTTATAACCAGTTAAAGAGCTCTTTAGTTGCATGAAAAAATGTTAAAAACCATCGTTACAGTGGCATTGTGATAAGTTGCTTTCTCTAGTTGAACAAGATGCAAGGTTTTGCAACCATAAACGTTTTTTTTTAATTTGTGAGTTGTACATAATATTAAATATTGGTATTAACCATTTTTCAACAAAAGTGAAAAATACAGCCCTTAACCTTTCAGAGATAGCAAGAACCGCAGATGCTGGAGTTAGAGACAACACAGTATGGGGTTGGAGGAGCACAGCAGGCCAAGCAGCATCAGAGGAGCAGGAAAGTTGATGTTTCGGGTCCTGACCCAAATTGTCAACTTTCCTGCTCCTCTGATGCTGCTTGGCCTGCTGTGTTCCTTAACCTGTCATGCAGTTTTGTAACATTGTTAACTTTGTGTTTCCTAATTAATGTTTAGGCTTGTTGAACTTTTCTTTTGGGGAGATTTATTTATATTTTGTTTCTTTTGTGTTTAATTCTCCCAAATTTGAAAAGAGAGAAAGTAACAATGGTTATAAGGATGCATAATTGAATTGGGTGATTGTTCTGTGAAAATGGTTACATTTCCCTTGATCTCCGAACTCTATTATCTATGATAGTTTGAATCCTGTTGTTCTGAACAACATCCAAATTGTTCACCTTATGTACATCACTTAACTGATTTAGCATACTCCTCAGGATGCTTACCAAATTAGATTAGATTTGTTGATGTCTGCTTGGTTTTCTTTGGATACTTTCATTGAAAACACCTCATTATTTTGCTTTCCACCTTTCGACTTTCAAAATTACACCTACTGGTGGAATCAAAGGATTTTGGAATAGACAAGAAATTAGAGTTGAGGCCATAATCAGATAAATCATAATCTTCTCGTGATGGAGCAGGCTTGAGGGCTTGAATTACCTACTCCTAATTCCAGTTAGTATAGTTTTTATTTCATATGATATTTTTAAATTATTTGTCCTCATAACAGTAAGATCTGCACTTATTTCAGCTGCACAATTTATTCAATCACTTGCTGTGTTAATCTCCTTTACAGTAACCATATAGCTCCTTAAATGGTGTGCACAAATTTCTGTGAGTTATGCATCACCTATAGCATTGCACACCTTAGCTGCTGTGTCTTGATTAGTTTGTGAGCTTTCTTGTAAAGACATTCTCAATCTTTTTGCATAGGTTTGTTAAAAACCCTGTCCTATGCCAGCAATTTTATAATTGTTACTGGCCTGAAGTTCAAATCGTCTTGCATGAAATCCATTGATGCTTCGTGCTGTGGTTTGTACTTGCACCTACTCTTTTTAGATTTGGTCAACTTGTGACCCCCAGAAAGTTTAAACATTGGTTGTCCTTTGTAATAACTGCTTCAGAGGTGAAAAAAGACATGAAACTAATTTACTTAGTTGAAATATGAGCTTGCGCTGAACCAAGCTAATTAGCTGTAAGATGACGCTACATTTAACTGCCACAATCTAACAGCCAGTTGCTGTAGATATGGAATTTAATATTTTAGATAAAGTTCTGTAAGTTCTCTGACATTCAGCAATAACACATCTCTGCAGACCTCCTTATAATTATTCTCCTCACACCTAGTCTTCTCCATTTATAATATTTTTTAAAAGATATATGATTATATCTTATAAATGCACTACATAAGCATACTTAATGTAAGCTGTAATTTTATTCAAGTATTAACAGGGTTCTCTGCAAACTTTATTTAACAAACTTGACTCTGGAGCAGATTCGGCTTTTTAGGATCACTTTTAAACTTAGTGTATATCAAGATCTTTGCCGTAGTAAGATGATGAAAATTATAGTGGGATGAAAGTGAAATTAGGGTTGTAATGAGCAAACGTTTTATTGAAGCAGAATCTTTTAAAGCCAAATTTTACAAATTTTGGACTGTATTAGAATGAATGAAACTCGGAAATGTGATACTGTTCCATCAAAGCATTCCTGGTTTCTATAAGTATTCACATTGATTAACTCATTCATTGATTAACATGGGCTATGTGCAAGATGTTCAGTTTTCAGCAATACTTGTTGTAGTTCAGCCATAACTTGATGCTCACTTTAAACTGATATGATTCAAGTGTGTATGTTTTGTAATCATTGTCTTGAAAATCGTTTACATCTTAAATCAGTATTACAGCAAACGGTACCTTTGAAGGAACTGGTAACACTATTTTAAAGGACATGAACAAACTTAACAGCGTACTGTTTAGCCTTGATATGGTGCTGATTTCTAAAATATCTAAACTGAGCCCGATATCAGACTAAATACTACTGCTGAAGTCTGGTCTCTAATGGATAATATCAGTTTAGGAATATGGATTGAAGTGTCAGAAGCATCGCAATTTCTGTGATTTCATTTTCCCAGCTTGATGATAATTAAGTAAATTAAGGGAACAGTTTTGAGCGCACCCCTGCTCTCTGATAAATACAATAGAATATAAGGGATAAGACTTTAGCCTTCGTTGAGTTAGTACCACTCTTGGTTCAGGGTCTGCAGGTTGTGGATTCAAGCCCCACTTCAGAGACTTGAGCGCATAATCATTGTTGGCATCTCAATATGCTGGAGGTGGTACTATTGGAAATATTTGTACCTTCTTTCAGATCAACTTTGAACAGGGATCTCATCTGTCCTATTTTAAAAAAAAGTAAGGTGATTCGTCCTGGCCAATTGCCCCTTCTTTGGTACAGCTTGGCTACCACATTTCTGAAGTAACCCATTGGCTGAGATGTCCCGAACATGTAAATACAACTTCTTTCTTTCAGCTTTACACAGCAATAAAATGTCCTTTCTCCAGTAACCACTCTCAGCAACATCAGACAGGATTAATTATTAGCTACTTTCATGGCCAATGCTCATTTTCCATGAAACTTTCCACTGTCACAATTTATTTTTGTTGGTGAAGTAAGTTTTGAGCAGTGCAACTGACTGGTAGTAACTCCATTGCATAAATGTAAGATGAAGGTAACGTCTTTAATACAGTTTGCAGAACATGGGGTGAAACCTACAGCAAATGTAACACATTACTTCTCCATTTTCATATATAACACTTTGAGTACTTCAAATAACTAGTCTGCCCTGATAATGTTATCATTATTTAAAATATTGTAATTTGGTCTGATAGGGGAACATTACATTTAGTCATTGTTACCTCTAAATGAATGCATACTCGCCCATTGCATCCATAATTAATTCCAGTACCCCATTGTGCTTTTGAAGAGAATTAAAGCCTTTCACTGATAATATTTTCAAATGAAATTATTCCATCTGCAAGAATCTTTTGAATAATTTGAGGTCATAACAGTCTACTGCACTTCAAAATGGTTTAGGCATTTTAGAATGTACCTCTGAGACATGAGATATTATATAAGCGCAGGCTGTTTTTTTCCAAATGATCTTTAATAATACTCAGCATTTTTTTGTTA